GACTTGAAGGTAAACTCGAATTATGGAGGTCAACTTTAGAGTCTAAAGGTTTTATTTTGAGTAGATCTAAAACCGAATACATTGAGTGTAATTTTAGTAGTAATAGATCTAGTGGGGTGTTTGTGACTTTGAACGATGAAGTCATTAATAAATGTACTTGTTTTAGATATCTTGGGTCTATTATTCAGAGTGATGGTGAAATAAATAGGGATATTATTAATAGAATTCAAGTTGGATGGTTGAACTGGATGCATTCTTCGGATTTGTTGTGTGATAGAAAAGTACCACTCAAACTTGTGATGATGGAGAGACCTACAATGCTTTATAAGATGATGGAGAGACCTACAATGCTTTATGGCGCAGAATGTTGGCCATTAAAAGAACAGCATAATATTAAGTGTTGCAGAGATGAGGATGCTTAGGTGGATTAGTGGATTTACTCTTAGAAACATGATACGAAACGAGCTTTTTCTGTGAAAAGGTTGGAGTATCTCCAGTGACAGATAACATTAGAGAGAGTCGCCTTAGATGGTTTGGTCATGTAAAACAGTGGCCTTCCGATGACCCTGTCAGGAGAGTAGATGTATTAGAATTGGCCTATGTTAAGAAAAGTAGAGGCAAACCTAAAAAGACTTGGTTAGAAAATATTAGAAATGACCTTTCTTTATTATATTTAAATGAGAATTTGACTCTTGATATGACACAATGGAGAAAAAAGATTTAAGTAGTTGACCCCACGTAGTGGGATAAAGGCTTGATGTTGTTGTTGTATTGTATGAGGTGTTAAGCCTATTATATGCAAACCGTTTTGAGCAACATCTATCCATACACCCTTAGGTCCCATTTGCCTTCCTAATCCTTTGGCAATAATTTTGCATGATTGTCTAAAGGCATATTTTTATGCTTAGTTGCACGTCAAACCCATTTTTTCACTTCTTGGACACATTGCAAGTCTCAGAGGTGTGTTCATGTCCACAATATGAGAGGTTATGAAGTGTTTGTTCTTTATATTCCATAGAAATCAGCCACTATCATTAAAAGAGTATTAAGAGATATTTCATACAACAAGAGCACCTAACTTTATTTAGGAATTTCTCAAAATTTAAATATCTCATTTTACATGTAGAGTTTATTGACTACTTTTACGTAGACCGGTATACCACAGATTCTTCCAATAATGCTGCAACTCTATAAAATTTCTCACAACATATCGCAGCAAGGGAAGTTGCAGAAATCGCTCAAAACATAGTTGCAATTTAGTTTGATAAAAGCTGGTATAAATCAGAATGCTTTGCAAGTATCTAACATATTTATCCCGCAAAGATTAAACATTCATCCGTAAAATTTAAAATAAAACTTATTTTTTAAAATAAAATGGGAGATTTATTTGTACACATTTGAGAGATGCAATCATGGGGTTCTAATTCGCTTTGGAAAGTTCTTACTAGCTAACTCCACTGCTAAACAAGAAAAATATGGGAGTAGAAAAGAAGGGATTGTTGGGTTGCCACTGGAGAGGAGAGGCAATACAGTATGAGATTGGAATATTCTTTATTTCTCTGTGGAGTATGGTTCAACAAACCATTGGTACTGATGAATATACTAAAAAGGTCATTTTCCACTATCAGAAAGAACCCGAATGTTGAGAAGCATGCCAAAGAATGCCAAAGATGCCTGAAAGAGATGTAAATACGGGCAAAACGAAATTGAGAAAACTGGAAAATGTCCAAGGCACTAAGACATTGTGGGATAAGTAGATTATTGGTTTTCTTCCACTATTTCGCATGCTGAGAAGTAACTAATCATGCTAACTCAGCAAACACGTTCAACCAAGGCCTAACCTTGCTAATTGATGTTTCCAACTTGGATTGTTTCATTTATTTATTAGTTTAAATAACACTATAGTGTTCGCTCAGGAAAGATGGAACTAGGCATGAACCCCACTTTTTCAGCTTAAGGTTCCATTTTTTCTTGAGGTAGATTGAACTTTAATTAACCAGAGTTCTCCCAATGAATGTATCGGGGTTGATTTAATTCTGGGTTCCTAATTACTATGAGCACAAGCCCTTAATTACCCCTTCTATCGTGTAAAGGAGAACTCTTGATTAAGGATGAATATCTTTAAAAGTTTAATTGTTTTAATCTTGATTATGGGGAACGGAGGTAGACTAGATCAAGATATCAAAGTTCCATCATCCCGAAAATACTGTAGGTTTCAATATACCAACACTAATAATCGTTGATCGTAATGTCCAGGGAATCGGATTAGCAGTCATGGGTTACCTCCTCTCGAGGATCCCGAGTAAACTGAAGCGATTAGATATTGGTTTTTAGTGTTATGAGGGTTTGGAACTTATATATGTTAGAATGCCTGGTAGTTTGTGTTTAGGTTGGAGCTTATAGCTCCACTTAAGAGTTGTCTGTATGTGTGATTTAGATCATGGCTTACGACTCCTCTTAAGAGTTTCCTGTATATCTGATTTAAAACAAGGCTTATTGCTTCAGTTAAAAGTAGTCTAAAATTTGAGTTTATGGTAGGTCTTACGGCTTCCATTGGAAATGGTCTGTAGATTTGATTTGGAGTAGGATTTACTACTTTCATTGAAAGTTGCCTGTAGATTTTAGAGTTTAGGGTAGGTTTACAGCTTCCATTGGAAGTGGCCTGCAAGTTTGATTTGGGGTAGGACTTACTGCTTTCATTGAAAGTTGTTTATAGATTTTAGAGTTCAGAGCAGGACTTACGGATTCCATTGAAAGTGGCCTATAATTTTGTAAGAGATAGGACTTACTGCTTCGTTTAGAAATAGCCTGTAGTTTAGCTTTTGGAGTTTTGCGCTTCACATGGCAACTTCTCTAATAGATTGATTAAGAGCGGGTCTTACTACTTCGCTTAGAAGTAGCCCATAAGTTAGTTTTGTTGAATAAGATAGCAGTTACTTATTTTGCACTTCCTAGACAGCAGTTTACTTAGTTTGCACCTCCTATTGCCCCTAACACTTGTGCTTTTGTTTCAGAGCTTTTCTTCCTGCTTTAGCAGTTTTCCTTTTGCTTCGATACCACTTGTTTTAGTCTCAGTGCCTTTACTTTCAGCACTTGTAGTTACAGCGCTTTGTTTTCTCTCTTTTTTTTTCTTAGCACAGCTTGTTTTGACAACAGTACTGCTTTGGCTCTTGTATACTTGCTTGTAGGTATTGCGGCTAGCATTTGCATAGCTTACTTCGAGAAGAGTTTTGTTTGGTTTAGTATAGTCTGTTTAGAGTTTGTTCTGTAGTTAGTGTTCTAGTTTGTTGTTTGTGTTTTGAGTTTGAGCTGGTTTGGAGTTTTGTTTTGTAGAGTTGTGCTTAAGAGTTCCTTCAGAGGCTTACTTTAGTGCAAACATAAATGCTTGTGCTTTCTTTATTGTTTTTTTTTAATTAACGAATTAATTAATTAAAAGAAATTTTAAAATTCAAAATTAATCAATTAGTTAATTGATTAAATAAAAAATTATTATTGAGCTCTAGTAATATTTAAATCATTTAATTAGTTTGAATAATTAGTATTTTTAATTATTAATTAATTAATATATTTTATTAACTAATTAATTAAAATTAGCTGGTTCAATCAATTAATTGGTTAATTAGTTCATTAGAATTAACTAAAAGACAATTTTGCCCCTTGGGCTTACATAAAACAAATCCCTTAAGTAATGGTAAAAAAGAAAAATGTATAATTAAATAAAAATTACAATTAATAAAATAAGATAAAATAAAGGGATCTCGGCCGTCGATCTTCAGCTCCTTCTCGGATAGGCATGGACGGTTGGATGTCCGCATCAGGGAGGTTGGTCAAATCCACCTGATCAGATAGGATTCGATGGTCAAGGGCTTCATGACGATAATTAGTCCCATAATTGGTCTTTAATTTCTCTGATTTGCGATTGGGAGGCTTAATTTAAATTTTTCTTTATCTTATGTATATTTATATATCTATGCAGTCACTTCCCTTCTACTCCTCTTCTTACCCAAAATTTCAAACAAGAGAAGGCTTGAGTGGAATCGAGCTTGTGGTTCAGGCAAAAGGCACGGTAGATGAGATACGGGAGGTGTTTCTTGTGACAATTAGTGTGGGAGATCGACCGTAGTGGGTGTCCACACGGGCTATTGTGCACGAAGGTCGCTCATGGGAACCTGGTGTCGCGCGAGTCGAAGCAAAGGCTCGTCCGTGTGTGGGAGTAGCACATGAGGTTGCGTGCAGGAGGTCTTGCTCACGCAAGACAGACGAGAGCAGGGGATCAAGCGGAACGATCTAGGTCGATTGCAGGTCGTTCAGTCCAGCAAAATAGGCGTGAGGGCCGCTGTGCTATTGGAGCCGGAGACTGTGCGGGAGGAGTTCAGACACCCAATGCAAGGGGCGGAGCAGCTGGGAGGTTTGCGTGAAAGCTCAGGAATTGGGAATCGGACGTGCAAACGAGCGGGAGCGGGCTTCGATTGAAAAATCAGTGTAAGTCCTTATTTTTTGCATTTTTCGTTGTTTTATACAAGCCATTCCTCGACAACATGCACGTTCGACTTGGTGACGTGCCGACGCGCTCTTTCTTCCTTTTTCTTCTTCTTTTTTTCTTTTTTCTTTTTTTTTAATTTAATTTTCAACATATAGTATTATTAACACTCATATGTGATTCCAACAATCTGTCTTAAAAGATACACTCCATTAGAAAACAAGAATGCTCAATGTCTCAATGTTAGCTCCCAACTTATCAGTTTTTTTTTCCAGAAAAAATCATTGAATAAGACTTTTTCTGCCAAAAATATGATATCTAGAAAGATAAGCTGGACCATTTAGATGTAGACTGTGTAAAATTGGGATTACATTAAAAGGAATCAGGTAAATAAAACATTTCTGATGAATGATAATGATCATGAACATTTCTTATTAATTAAAAGCATTTTATACACAAATAATGGACAATTATAGACGCACAAGAGAATGTAATAAAGTTGAAAAAGCTATGAGGATACCTGAGCCCGTTGGACCCATCAAAAGAATGTTGCTTTTCTCCAGTTCCACTGTATCATTATCATTAATAGTAGATCCACCAGAAATTGAATCTGATGCAGACCTAATATTCAGTGTCATTAAATAAACATGAGGACAACCTCTCCCAAATGTTCTAGGCGCATGAATGAAAAATATTTCTAAGGAGATGAGATGTAAATCTAACCAGTTTGACAAGTTATCATAATAGATCCTCTTGTAATGATTGTAGACTGCAACAGAGAGTACCTGTAGCCGTAAAGCATTTGCTTTTATCCACAAAACGGGTTGCAAATCACATACAAAACAAATAGCTGAAAAGCACAATGCACTCCTAGAATTTCTGAAAATGTCATTAGATGCAATTGAAGTATTATTGTTTTTATCAACAAGAAAGCTAAATTTTTCTGTGTAAGGGACAAACTTCAAAATAGCCCCCTGATTGTTCACATATGATCAATTTAGCACAAAAATATCACGTTGATCCAATTTAATCCTTCGACTATACAAAATTCATCCAAAATAATGACTTCGGGCTTAAATTATAATCAATTTTGTACAATCGAGGGACTAAATTATGATCAACTTTATATAACAATTACAACATAAGTGGCCATTTTAAAACAATTTTATATAGTCAAGAGACCAAATTGGAGCAACATGATACTTTGGGACTAAATTCGCCACACCCGAATAGTTTTGAAACAATTTTGAGATTTTTCTATATAAAAAATTTATTATGTTAACATGAAGTAACACATTAAGAAATTCTAAAAAACTTCATCCACAACTTTGCATCACATTGCAGCAATTACAAACACAACTTAATCAGGAAAAAAGCTCAAAATAATCCCCTAACTATTCGTGTGAGGACAATTTAATCCTACAATATCAAAATCTCAATTTTAAACCATCGACTATATAAATTAATTTCTTCTTTTTTTTTGTGGGGTTGGGGGGGTTCTAAAAATAGTCGGGGACTATTTTTGGCTTTTTCTTAACATCAACTGTCGTAATCTCCAAGTCCTGATTTTAAGATTAGAGCAAATCCCTAAACCTAGGTTGTGCCAACACTTCCACAAGACTCATATGTGCCTTTGAAACAAGTGCTAGACACAAACAAGATTAAACAATGTTCTCTACTATGGACATCTTCCAACATTTGCTAAACATGGTCATGTCTAAACACTCAAGCAGTTTTTTCTATCTAACAAAAGAAAGATGAGTCATAATGGGCAGTAGCAAAATAGCATCGACCCTTACTAACACACTTAGTTTAATGTTCTTGTCCCACCTCGATATACAGTTTAGGGCATGAGCTTAAAAGCTGAGTTCATATTTGAGAATTAATTTTTCTATTAATTTAAAAGGCCCTCTATTTCTATTAATTTAAACAGGCACGCAGCCATGGAACCAAGAAAGAAATGCAGATGTTGATGAGTAACTTCGAAATTTTTCACTTAGATAAAGGGTGTTGTAATAGATCAAATATGAATTTTGAATCATTATTTTTCATAATTACGATTTAGTAGTACAGTTTGGCAAAATATAATCTTCTTTAATAATTATTAAGCACTTTATTACATACAAATGATAGTGTAGACTTTGTGTTTGATACAGTTTATTAGTGAAACAATTTATATTAGATATTACATCAGGCATATGTCAATCTCAAATCAGCCCATAAATCCACACCTAGTCAACCATTTCTTAATCTTGCACCAATCTTAATCCTTTCGCAACTTTTCAACTGACCCTAGAAACATTTCCACCATCCCCAGTCATTTGGTAACAGAGCCAAAGGGATCTAAAACCTCAATACCAATTGTCCTAAAAGAGAGAGAAATAATCAATCCTAAGAGGCACACCACTACAAGTACCAAATCGAACTGTTTATTTCTTAATCAAATCATTGAATCTCTTCGCTAAAAATTTTCTACATCAAGAAACTTTTGCTTCGAAAAGAGATCTTCAACTTAAACAAAAAATCTTCATCATCATAACAAGCATCACCAATTGGAGTTCAGAGGCAATTCAAATAAGATATTCAAAATTGGAGGCAAGAAGCAGCACTCAGATAAAGGGATCTCTTCTCCAACAAAGGCTTCATTGGAAGAGGCTAATAAGAAAATGAGGCTATTCTTTCAGACACCGCCGCTTTTAACAAGTCTAAAATTTTTCATGTTAGAGAGCCCCTCATTTGGCAAAAAAAAATTATTTACAAAAAACAAGATTTATTCACATGTTTTGATGTAAATCTAATGTTATTGTATAAATCCCAAGTAGTTGCCTCCACCAATCAAAACCAAACCATTATTTCTAATATAATCATATACTTCAAAACCTTCACTTGAGTGTCACCTTTGGTAGGAGGAGCATCAAAAAATTAATTCTTTAATCTTAACCTAGAATGGAGATTTTTCATATAACATTCGCTAGATTTATCTTTGTGATATATGTTGCTTTATTTCAGGTGCATAATTAGCATTGGTCTTTAATTGTGCTATATTACAAGAGCTTATATAGATAAGGAAAGACAAAAGAAAAAAAAGGTACAAAATCGAATAGAAGTTTTTGTGTCCTGCCAAAACTAAAAGGTCTTTCCCCTATAAAAAAAAAAGCTTAAATCACATAATGAGAGTTTGGGATGTAAGTGGCCATTGTGTCTAAAAATAGTCGGGGACTATTTTTGGCTTTTTCTTAACATCAACTGTCATAATCTCCTGGTCCTAATTTTAAGATTAGAGAAAATCCCTAAACCTAGGTTGCGCCGACACTTCCACAAGACTCATATGTGCCTTTGAAACAAGTGCTAGACACAAAAATGATTCAACAATGTTCTCTAGTATGGACATCTTCCAGCATTTGCTAAAAATGGTCATGCTTAAACACTCAAGCAGTTTTTTCTATCTAAAAAAAGAAAGATGGGTCATAATGGGGTAGTAGCAAAACAGAATAGACACTTACTAACACACTTAGTTTGATTTTCTTGTCCCACCTCTATATACAGTTTAGGGCATGAGCTTAAAAGCTGAGTTCATATTTGAGAATTATTTTTTCTACTAATTTAAATAGGCACGCTTTTTCTACTAATTTAAATAGGCACACAGCCATGGAACCAAAAAAGAAATGCCGATGTTGATGAGTAACTTCGAAATTTTTCACTTAGACAACGGGTGTTGTAATAGATCAAATATGTATTTTGAATCATTATTTTTCATAATTACGATTTAGTAGTACAGTGTGGCAAAATATAATCTTCTTTGATAATTATTAAGCACTTTATTACATACAAATGATAGTGCAGACCTTGTATTTGATACAGTTTATTAGTGAAAATGTGAAATAACTTTTTATTAGATATTTCATCAGGCATATATCAATCTCAAATCAGCCCATAAATCCACACCTAGTCAACCATTCCTTAATCTTGCACCAATCTTAATCCTTTCGCAACTTTTCAACTGACCCTAGAAACATTTCCACCATCCCCAGTCATTTGGTAACAGAGCCAAAGGGATCTAAAACCTCAATACCAATTGTCCTAAAAGAGAGAGAAACAATCAATCCTAAGAGGTACACCACTACAAGTAACAAATCAAACTGTTTATTTCTTAATCAAACCGTTGAATCTCTTTGCTAAGATTTTTCTACACCAAGAAACTTTTGCTTCGAAAAGAGATCTTCAACTTAAGCAAAAAATCTTCATCATCATAACAAGCATCACCACTTGGAGTTCAGAGGCAAGTCAAATAAAATCTTCAAAATTGGAGGCAAGAAGCAGCACTCAGATAAAGGGATCTCTTCTCCAACAAAGGCTTCCTTGGAAGAGGCTAATAAGAAAATGAGGCTATTCTTTCGGACACCGCCACTTTAACAAGTCTAAAAAATTTTGCGTTAGAGAGCCCCTCATTTGGCAAAAAAAAAATTACAAAAGACAAGATTTATTCACATGTTTGGATGTAAATCTAATGTAATTGTATAAATCCCAAGTAGTTGCCTCCACCAATCAAAACCAAACCATTCTTTCTATTATAATCATATGCTTCAAAACCTTTACTTGAGTGTCACCCTTGGTAAGAGGAGCATCACCAAATGAATTCTTTAATCTTAACCTACAATGCAGATTTTCCATATAACATTCGCTAGATTTATCTTTGTGATATATGTTGCTTTATTTCAGGTTCAAAATTAGCATTGGTCTTTAATTGTGCTATATTACAAGAGCATATATAGACAAGGAAAGACAAAAGAAAAAAAAAGGTGCAAAATCGAATAGAACTTCCACCGATACGTGTCGGATACGCCATAGACGTATCCAATTAAAATACTATTTAATTTCAAAAGGACACTCGTATCCGATACACATGTCCGTTGAAAAACAAAAGAAATCTGAAAAAAAAAGATGCATCGTATTTACTTCCACGACTGCGAGCAAAGTTCTCTCATTTCCGAGATGAATTTGAGTCTCTTGATGATATGAGAATATTAGAAATTACTAACCTTTCACTTGATGAGCCTGAATTAAAAGCTATGATATTTATTGAAGATGATATAGAAGTTCAAAGACAAACCACTGAAGAAGCTAATCATATCATTCCTTCTATTGAATAGTTGAAAGTTGAAACTTTATGTGCTAGACAATTTATGTGTATGCGTTTGTTGTTGTACTAGACATTTAATGCTTACTTATATTTTGATATTATAAGCTACAAGGCTACAAATGATGTTGTAGTCTTTTTTTTTTGTAATTTCAAATATTATGCTTTGATTGCTTTCTTAATTTTTATGTCGTATCTGCGCCGTACCCGTATCCTGTATTTTTAAGAATTGAAGTGTCCCGTATTCGTATCGTGTCGTATCCGTGTCGTCGTATCCATATCGGTGCAACATAAAGGTTCATATAGATAAAAAAAAATTTAAATCTTGAGAAATTGCTAAAACAAGTTTTGCTAAACTAACACACCCATGATTTTGAAGATGACCAGGAAGTTTGCCTTAACTTTCACGCAAACACTAGAAGGCCTCACAACACAACACCATAAGGAAAACCCATATGATGCCCAAATAGGACAATAAAAATCAAGGCACCCACTTTTAATGGCACCCATGACGCAAATAAATTTTGAGATTATCTCACCCAAATTAATGAATTCTTTAACTAGTACAAAAAGAACAACTACCAAAAAGCAAACTCTAATAAACTTAACTAATTGGTCAGTCAAAACTCTATTGGAATAATTTATTGGCTAAGGAAAAAAGAAATGGTAGAAGAGTTATTGAGTGGGAGGCAATGAAAGAAGCACTTAGTACCGAGTATTGTGTTGGCATTATGTCAGAAGTTGCATGAGGCAATGTGACAAGATGGTGACTAATATCAAAAAACTTTCAAAGATCTCATAGATAGAGCCAACTGGCCTTAAAATAATTCAATGTATTTGTCCATGGACTAAAGATGGACAAAAAAATTAAAGTTGAGTTACATAACCCTCATAACTACAAAGATGTTTTTCACATAGCTACATTAATACTAAAACACAATAGGTACTTAGTCATTTTCAAACCACAATCATTTATCCCATCTACTTCTAGGCCTAAAGTTAAACCTGCCACCACCCCATCTAACAATCAACCAACTAGAACAATAGGAGGAAATAGCCATAAAATATAAAAGACATTGTCTAACATACTTCATATAAGAAATAACAAATGAAATACAAGTATAAGTGATGTAGAACGGATATGGGGGGGTCATTTGAAATTTGAATTTCAAATTAAATGGGAAAAGGAGGGAAGGGGTACTTAATTAATCCATTAAATGGAGAGGCATTAATTAAAATAGGAGAGAGGGAGTGGTGGAATTAAAGCTTGCCTATTCAATAGTCTTAAATTGAGGGAGAGAATTTTATTCAAATCCAATTTGGAATTGACTTAAAGCTTTCCTTAAATAGTATCAATTAATTTAGGAAATTATATGAATTTCAAATTGTGTTGGATTTGAATTCAAAACCTTTCCAAGATAATCATTAATCTAATTTTGGAAAGAAATTTAAAGAGGGCATTGGTATGGGGCCGGCCAAGAGATAGAGAGGGGGGCTAGGGGTGTCTAGGTTCAATGTGTTTGGACTAGGGATTAATTAATCAATCAATTTTAGAATTGATAAATTAATTAAATGAAAAAGATTTTCAAAAATAATGTAATTAATGATGATGGATTTGAAATTCAAATTAGATTAATTTGAATTTAAAATTTTTTCAAATTAATGACAATTTAAATAAGGAAAGATGGATTTTTTTTTTTTTTTTGAGGGAAGTGGGGCTAGTGAGGGAGGTGGCCAACGGGTGGGTGGAGCCATAGTCAATTTCAACCAATGGGGAGGGAGGAGGAAGGGAGGGGCGAGTGTAGGTCGATGGTGTGGAGGTGATAGGGGTGAGAGGAACAGCGCCTTGGTAGAGGGCTTGAGGAGGTGGTGGTTTAGGAAAATAAGGAAAAACAAAACAAAGAAAGAAGAGATAGAACTGCGAGCCTTGGACTCTTCCGAAGACTGACTGGTGATACGATGTCCATCACAAATGGACTTCAAGCCACGAGCCTGGACCCATCCTGCGGCTGGTGGAAACCACAATTCCTTCCATATGGATTCCCACTAACATCCTCCCAAAGAACAAAAGTTCAAAACAAATTTCTTTTTTTAATAATCCATCATTCTAATACAAGAGCAAAGGCCTCTATATATAGGCCTTAAAATAAAAGAAACTAAAAAGACAACTTTGCCCCTTGGGCTTACATAAGACAAGACTCTTAAATAAGAGTAAAAACAAAAAATACATAATTAAAATAAAAAATATAATTAATAAACTAAGATAAAATGAAGTGATCTCGGCCTTCAATCTTCGTCTCTTCCTTTGATTAACGTCCACCGTAGGATGTCCGCATCAATAAGACTAATTGATGCACCTAAAAGAGGATAAAACTATTGAATCTAAACTTAAATATTATGGAACAATAGATGATCCTAAGGATTAAGAAATGAAAGCTAAAACTGAATATGAAGACTATGTAACTAAAAATGTATTTAGTATGTAACTAGTGTGTAAATAAAAGAGATGTAGGCATTTTATAGATGGAGGTAGTGCATGAATGTAATCTCAGCACATACCTTCACAAGAGCCAACATTCAAGTCGAATCACACCCAAACCCTTTCCATGTTACTTGGGTCAACCATATCTCCCTTGTTGTGACTTCTAAATACTTTTTACACCAAAAAATAGGGAATTATAAAGATAATTTTGATGTGATGTCTTACTTATGGATCATAGTTAACATTTTGTTCATGATCCACTGGAATAATATTAGTTAATCTCATCCTCTCATTCTATGCTATAGCAGATAGAACTTATCAAAAAGTTGTTCAAGGAAAAAATAGCATCAAGTGAAGAGAATGGATACCAAAGAATCATTCAGAAAGGTAAACCCAAATATTTGGTAAAAGATTGTTCATGTCGCTCATGATGATCATCAATCTACTCATCTTTCTTTCTTTCTTTTAACACATCTTTACTACCAAATATTTTCTCCTCTATTGCATCTCTCAAAATGAAATGTCCATCCATCAGATGTTTTGTATTTCCTTATTCTCGTGCACCTTAACTAATCCTCAAACTCCTTCAAAACCAAATATAATAGTGTAAATTGATTTACCACCAACTTATTTATTTGTATGATCATGTAAATCCAACTAGAATTCCTATATTGCATAGTGGAACCCAATTAAACACTGAAAACCAAAAAATAAATGGCAAATGCCAAGTTAGATCGTGAATGTTAATTAATCAATAGATGTCGAGACCTCCCTATTTGAAAGAAAATCTACATAATACAGTAATTAAAGCATACAAATTTCCAATAAATATAATTGTACAATAAATAAATTTGCATAATAAAAGAATAAATTTTCCTCCAAAAATTATATTCACCATAATAAGCACCAATACTTATATACCATGAAAACTAGCATAGGCACTTAAAGGTTGCCCGTTGTAGGGTATGTGTACGGTGTACCACAAGTTCACAAGGAACTTAAGAAGAACAAATATAACATAATACCAGCCATTAAAACCATTATCCCAACAATATAGGGTCAGCTTTATGAAACTTCTCCCTTCATGCATTTCTATAGAGTGCTGCATGATATGTATCTGATTAAATACTATATCAATTCTGCTCTGCAGATCAAGAGAACCACGAGAGACAATTGTTGCAAAATAACCTCCAACGAAATTGTTTTCTGAAGTTTTGCAAAGAGTAAAATAAACTCCAAATTTTCCAACAAGAATAAATCCAAAGAGTAAAACAAATCCAGAGCTAATTCAAGCAATCAACTCAGTTAAGTAGCTCCACTCGAAGTAAAAACGTGATAAGGTTCAAACTTATACCTTCTTAGCCCGCTCTTGGCCAATCACAAACTTATCTAAGCCTCTGCAAATCTCCTTAGGGGTCGGAAACTCAATCCCTATATTAGAACCTCCCCAACACCATTCCCTCGCAGCTCCAGAACCACCTCCATCTCCCCCTCCCCCTCCCCCTCCCCCTCCCCCTCCACCTCCTACCCTAATCACGTTGATCCGGCTCGGCAATCCTGAGGACTGAACAGCAACCCCAGATTCCGGAGGCTGCTGCCATATCTCGGGTGGTTCACCGGATGACCTCGACACAGCGGCGGGG